GGGTGAATTCATAGTAAAGTGATGTTGTCTTTGTCGCTAACCCAACTATCATTACCAATTTTATGATTATCTTTACAAGGGTGCCCTCTATGTCTTAAATTGAAAACATAATCCTAAGAATGAGAATTTCGGGCATTGCAACAAATTTGAGGCCAGATTTGGGGGGTTAGAAGGACCTATCAATTGATCTTCATTCACAGCACCTTATAAGAAGCCACCCAAGAATAAGCAGAATCAGCTTTTCCAGGGTCTCCACCTTCAGTGGTAGAAAGAGAGGGTGAAAGCTGGCACTGGAACAGAAAATGTGGCTAGTGACAACATGCGACTGTGAACTTTCAGTTTCAATATCCCTTTCATCCTTCACCCCTGACTACTTGCCAGAGAAACTGCATACTTCACACAGCCTGCAAAAGTCATGGCCCTCTTCTCTCCCAAGAGAAATCTTAACCATGCTTCAAAGATCAACTCAAAAGTACTGCTCCGTGAAACATTCTCTGACAGCCCAAAGGTGGAGGCAATCACTCAGAGAACTGTAGAGCAAGAAGAAAGCTTCACTAATTTTAGGGTCTGAATAAACTCCATGGTTTAAAGATACAATCAAAAGGCTCGTGGTAGAAAAAGAACCAATGAATTCCAACTGTCCACACCCTACTTGAAATTATGAATTACTTTTTTCAGCGTTTCAGTTGTTGGGGTTTTTTTCATCTGCACATATTTGTCTCAGGGCCTACTTTTATAGGAATCCAAGCAAATCCAGTTCATAATATTTATGCCTGTGAGGGTATAAGGAAGTAAGCAGACCCACACAGTATGTGGTAGGAACATATATTTTCACAGACTTTGGAAGGTAATTGATCAGGCTGTCAAAAGTTTAAAAGGGCATACCCTTTGAACCAGGTATTTGTCTTCTAAGACTCTCCTGTAGTAATGCACACAGAAGCACAAAGATAAATATGAGGTGTTGTCTGTGGAATACTATATAACGGAGAAATACTGAAGATATCTGTTAATATATCAGTCAAAATATCTGTCATTAGAGGGGTGCCTGGGTGGCTCAGTTGGTTAAGCGACTGCCTTTGGCTTAGTCATGATCCTGGAGTCCTGGGATCGGGTCCCGAATTGGGCTCCCCGCTCAGTGGAGAGTCTGCTTCTCCCTCTGACCCTCCCCCCTTTTATCTGTCTCTCTCTCTCATTATCTCTCTCAAATAAATAAATCTTTAAAAAAAAATCTGTCATTAGAATAATAATTAAGTTACAGTGTAAGCATTCTATAAAACACAATGAAATTATTAAGCATGAGTTTGGTCTATATTTACTGCTAAGGAAAGATGTTTATGATATACCAATAAGCAAAGAAAATCAAATTTAAAAGACATATGTATTGTGTTCTATATCTGTTATTTTTCTCTTTCTATCTGGAAACACACACACACACCCCTCAGACTATTAGCATGGTTACTACTGGGGAGGGAGATGACTTAGAGGTAAAAGTGGAGGTCAAGGTGGTACAGAAGGGAAATGCCTCTGTATTTTTTTAATCACTGCAAATTACCCTTAAAATTGAAAAAGAAATGCAATGCATTTGGAAATGAACATCTGAAACATTCTTCATCATTTTTTCTTAAAGTCCACCATCAGTACTGGCTGCAAGAGAATTCAGAGGATTTTAGCTGCATAAACTCTTTCTATCTGACATATACTAGTATAAAAGGTGGGTTGTAACCAAATTTAAGTCCACAAGTGATCTAACAGTAATTAAGAAGCAAAATTATCTGTTGACACTGTTGTTTTATATATGATTGCTTGCTCTTTTAAGATGAAAAATGTCACATGGACAGAAAATATACTTCAAATACTCATTATGGTTTTCATAAGCAAACTAAAGAAAATCATAATTACAAGGGCAAACAGGAAATTGAAATCAAGGATAAACATATACCTAAGCCTCCAGAATTTTGTTTTGTTTTGTTTCATTTCGTTTCTTTATTCAGGAAGTTAAATGATGTTAAATGACAAACATTTGAAGTCTTTCAAGCGTTTGAGAGGAAGACTATGGCAAAAGACATTACTGGCAGTGGGACTGAAGAGATTTTTTTTTAATGCAGTGAAAAACTAACTACCAAGAAGAGCCAACCTATTGTGACCCGTGATTTTTGGCTGCAGAATTTGCTTTCCATAGAATTCTATGAGTGTGCATGGGTTTGGGAGATTACCTGCAGGCGCGTTACAGTGAATCCCATAATGTAGTAAGAAAGAAAGGGGGTTGGTGGTGAAAAACATGGCCCTTGCTTGGGTGTGTTATTATGAGCAAAGAATCCTAACTTTTAACTTTCTGTAAACTGGGAATACTTATATTAAATAGCAAGGTTACTCCAAGGATTAAATGAGAACACATAGATAGATGTGTTAGATAGATAACGACTACTTACATGTTGATTTTTGTCATTATTCCATTTGTATTTCCTTAAACTTTTGTATTGGGATGCATAATAGCATGATGACCCAGGCAGCTGGATGGCTCAGTTGGTTAAGCATCTGTCCGATTCTTGGTTTTGGCTCAGGTCATAATCTCAGAGTCATGGTGATTGAGTGAGCCCTGCATTGGGCTCCACTTTCAGTGTCGAGTCTGCCTCAGATTATCTCCCCCTCTCCCTCCCTCCCCGCCCCGCTCCTCTCTCAACTCACACATGCTCTCTTTCTCTCTTAAATAAAATCTTAAAAAAATAATAGCATGATGACTAAAAGACGTAAAAGACTTGAATAATACATCATTTCCATAAAATTATTCCTAATCACCGACAGCCTGATCAATGTGACTGGCAGATATCTATGGAAACTCAGGAGGAACAAATAAGCTGGTACTCACATGCAGCAGCAAATAATGTCTATTAAACTGCTTGGTTAATGATACAGGGTCCATTCATTCAGCCAATACTTATTGAGTATGAACTGTGCTTCATGCCCTGTGTTAAGAGTCTGTGGACAGACTGTACTGAGCAAAACAGGGTTCCTACCCTAACAGCTTAGAAACTAGTGCAGATAAAAGGCATTAGGAAAAAAATTCATAATTCTAGGTATGCAGTAGTTAGAAGACAATGCCAGGAATCACTGTGAGAGAGTAGCGAAGTGAGAGAAGGAAAGGAAGAGACCAATAAAGAATACACAGACTAGCCAGCTACCTATATGGTAGAGTGTTGAACTGTCTGAGTTTATGCGGAATTAAGAAGGTTCCCATGACACAGGACTTTTCCATGCTAAAATTGGGACAGTCCCCAAAAAATCTGGAATGAGTTGATCACCTTATTGTATGAGCAACTGGGTCTCAATCATTCTGGAGAACTTCAGAGAGGATGCATAGAACACAACCTAGAATTATCTCAAAAAAAGGCAAGGGAGTATTTATCCCTCAATGGCTTAACCCTCAGTGGTTGAGGGAGGGTCTCCAAGGCACTATCTTTCATTTACTCTCCATCTGACCTGTGTGTGCTCCTGTATCCAGGGAATGCCCTCCAAGAAAGACAGAGGAAAATGTTGGCATGTCTAAGAAGTGTTTGCAGGCAAACTCTGGGGTCACCCACAGGGATATCAGCAGGGCACCAACACCATCTGACACATGATTATTTTTCCCCAATCTCATAGGCAAAAGGATGATTTCAATGTTATTTTCATTTGGATTCTCTAACTAGTGGAGAGTTTAGACCTAACTTCATATTTACATCCCTTCTTGTGCATTTAACAACAGCTTTAGGGTAGGTTATTTTCTTAGCCTGGGACAACTGACCTCCATAATAAAAAGCAATAAAAAATTTCATTCAATTTACCTAGAATATGTGCATGTGGGGGTGGGGGTAGTGGTGGGAAGCAAGGTAAACTCTTTCGTGTGAACTGAAGGTGAGGATTGATCATTTAGTCATACTGTTCCCAGTGCTATAATCCTTGTTCTACTTCCCTGTGCCTTTAAAGCAGAATTGAGATCCTTGCGTTTTGTCTGTCACATTTTTCAAGTTCCCACTGAGCTGAATTATGGTCATGATTCATATCTGTCTCCCCTCCAAGGCTCTTCTCACATACCCATTTCCTCTCAGGTGTATTTTCAGATCACTCCTCATTCTCCATAAGCTATAAGCTGTTGTGGGTGTGCACTGCCTGCTTTCACTTCTGCTGGGACCACTGCCGTATACTTCTGTTTTCTTCAAGCCTCACTCACGGCAGCCTATTTTGAATGGGACTCTAGCTCACTCAGGGGGGAATCAGGGATGTTTAATGAGCTGTCATTATTGAAATCTAACACACTCAAATTTCTTGTGTAACTGAAAACCCAGGATGTTGCTTAGCTTACAAGCTACAGGCTAGGGAACTCACTGTACCATAATAAGAACATGAGCTTTGTACCTTCAGAAGATAACTAAATTATAAATTTAAACTTTAGATCCTGTCACTTCATTGATTAAACCCTCAAATATTTCTGTGACTACCTAAGACCTGTTATTAATTTTACCTAGTTTTATGCATTCTATTTCACTGTGTTTCTCAGCATATTTGTTATGGCCCTTTACCAAAGCTATCCTCCAATCATGATTATAAACTGACAGTACCTTAGAATGATGATGTTTGATGATTTTACTACTGAGCAGGAAATAATCTATATAGTTCCTATCTCATAAACAAATTGCTTAGACTTCTTCAGCTAACCTTTTGTCTCAAAAACGTGTCCTTATTTAAAAGAGTGGACCAGCCTTCATTTAAAAATACAGCAACTGGGGCGCCTGGGTGGCTCAGTTGGTTAAGTGACTGCCTTCGGCTCAGGTCATGATCCTGGAGTCCTGGGATTGAGTCCCGCATCAGGCTCCCTGCTTGGCAGGGGGGAGTCTGCTTCTCCCTCTGACCCAACCCCCTCTCATGCTCTCTCTCTCTCTCATTCTCTCAAATAAATAAATAAAATTTAAAAAAATATATAAGAATACAGCAACTGAACAACAAGACTGTAAGGGACCTACCTGAGGTCACACAACTCATGGTCAAGGCTAGAAGTTCTCTTCCTATGCTGCTTGTCTTTCATCTATATGTCATCCATCTTCTTCTTGCTTCTCTGGAAAGAAAAGAACATCGCAGACAGTCATCTTCCCATTCATCCACCTGACTCAGACTTCTGTGCTTCAGGATTTTCCTCTGCCACCACCATGCCGCACACTTCAATCATTCCATTTCAGAGACAATCGGACTGGCTTCTTTGCAGGACCTTGACAGCACTGACCTCCACAGGCATGGCATGAATTCCAGTAGCACTTGCAGCCTTTTCCAGACATTTGGTACTCTCAGTATCCTATCTGGTTAGTTATTTACATCTTCATAAATAATGTATCTGTCTGCCTAACTGCAAAGTCAAGGCCCTTGAGGACACACTACAGATTTAGATAATTTGTTGCATTCCCCACCATGTCTAAATGCCTATCACTATGCATATGATAGATGTTTCACAAATGTTAAAGAGGATGCTAATGACAACAATTCCATATGTAATTATATGCATAACTTATATGTATGTATATATTATATGTAATATGTGATATATACGTACATATACACAAATAATTTTAATTGTTTATTCTTGAGAATAAAATTACATTTAGTACTGAAAAAATAGTAAGCGATACTGGCTCCCAAATACAGTGCTGCCTGTACAGAGACCTGAGCAGATTTCAACAAGTGTGTCTATGTGAAATAAGGCAGGGAAGTTGTTTCTTGTATTTTGTTGTGATTTTTGTGTTTGTTAGAGCAATCACAGTATGGAACTAAAGAGATGAACCTGCATTTAGAGAGCTGACAATTTTTGGTAGACTCCTGATGTGAAATGTTTTTACTCAACTTACTTCCCCAGTGATGGCAAAGCTGAGGTCAAATTCTGCAACATTTGGAAAACCGATAAAACGTAAAGGCAATGTTTGTTGTAGAGTTCCAGGGCCAAAGGATTATGAGGCACAGAGTAACACTTCTATGGGTCAGTGGACAATAGGGCCAGAGAAATGCAACTCATGTTTTTTATCTCGCCATGCCTTTAGCAAGGTTTTAGGAGTGATATTCTGCCCAAATTTCTCCTTTAAGGTATATGTGGGAATCTCTAAGGTGAAAAAAGGGTTAAGATAGGACTTCAGGGGGCAAAATGTAAAAAAAAGAGAAGCTTTAGCTAAACAAAAGAGAGTTGTTTGTTTGTTTTGACCATCAGGTATTTAAAGGTAAGCAACATTTACAATTCTACCAGACTAAGACAGGTGTGAACTGCCACATGGAAGCTGGGAATTTTGCAGGCAAAGGAGGAAACATGTTAGGAGAAGCATATGTATTGCTACATAGACGAGGAACACCTTAAATGCTCCAAACAGGGATTTATGCAAAGCAAAAGTTTTGAAGCTGCCACGTGGTAGACAGGTACATTGTGAATAGAAGTTTGCATGCCTGAGTGTGCACAAAATTCCCAAAGTAAAAATTTTAGCTTGGAATTGTAATCCAAGTCTTCTACTGCCCTAAGGAAAGGGTAATAATAAGAGCCTAATGTTCCAGAGCCCAGGAGTGGGTGGCTTTTGGACAGGACACTTCTAGCAGGACACTGGTGTCAGCTTACTCAGCGTGCCTCTAGTCCTCAAAATGTCTGTCAATAAAGGGCTAGACATTTGGGCCTTTGAAGCTTAAAATTACTATTCTGAGAGTAGCCAACAAAAATTAATAAACTATGCCAACCTATAAAACATGAAACCACAGAAAGATATGGACACTCATATTGATACCCGTTCTATCCACTGAGTAGCAAAGAGCTAAAAGAACAAAAAAGCCAGGAACTGTCACAAAAATCATTGATCCTCACGGTTCTGTTGTGTTAGAAAGCAAAATAGAAAAGTTCACATTTGTGAGACTGGAAACATGTGCACATACACATATAGTTGTTAATGAGGTAGTATAAAGTGAGGAAATCTAGTTCCCCTACTTGGATAGAGTAGATGGGGTTTGGCACAATTCCACGGAAAAATAAAGTGACAAACATTTCAATATTCCTTATATAAGGTGGTATTAGAAAAAGAAATTGGGGCATAACCTGCCTTTCTCTTCAAGGAAACTCTCAGGACACCAGGGTCAACATGAGACTTTGAATGGATAAAACTCTTGTATTCCACTTCAAATTTTTTTGGAAGCTGGTAGAGTAGAAAGCATATTTTTTTTATATACATAATACGGAGCTTGAAAGTTAAGCATGGCACAAGGGCAAGGAAATATATTTAATCTTATCTTCATATTTGTACTTAAAATAGAAAACAAACTATTCTGGCCAGTTGTCCTGCACCAAAATCATATTCCATATTCTTCCCCAAAACCAGATATCAAATTTTAAAAGCCAAAAAGCCATCACTGACCTTAGACACCAAAAAGAGCCCAGTAGACTGAACATAAGCAGGCTGAACTATGTTTATTTTCTTAGATCAAGTTTATTATGAATTATAACCCCTGCATTTTATAGTAAGTTATCTCACGCATTTTATTATGAGTTACTCAGTATGGCTACTGGTCAGATCTGGGACAGGCATTTCCATGAGCAAAAAAAAATAGTTGTTTTTCTTTAACTCTAAACAACTCTGATTCAAGACCAAGCCCAGGTTACCTGCTGTGATTCAAGGAAATGGAATCCTAAAATATGACAGAACAGTTCAAAGGCCAACCTTTGAACCTTGTGCTTTGGGTGTTCAGAAGTCACTGATTAGAATGCAAACACCCTTGCTAAGTCTGTATCATCTTAGGCCTTATCAGCCGACAGCAAAGCTGTCTTCTATCTATATTCAGATAGCCCTTTAATCAAGCCCTAAAGTATAATTTATATATGTTTTTTATAATTTCCTTGTTGGTTTAAGTATTTTATATTTGAAAAAAAAAGTTATCCAGGGTATTATCTGGAAAACTTGCTTAACCTTATAAAGTTGAATCAATATGGTCACTGAATTTTAGGAAGGATTAATGATCAAGCATATATAAAATACCAGATTAAGTAAACCTCATATTTCCCAATACCAGGATGTATTCTATAAATGTCATTATTTTGAATTAAGAATTAATGTTAACATTCCCGAATGTTTAAGTGTTTGATAGAATTTGCAAAAAAAAAAAAGTGTTTATTTTCAACATTTCTTTAAATTTAAAATAAAGCTTACATTCATGGCCACCGGCAGACAGCAAAACTCTTGTACAACTGCAGCCCAAGTTTAATACAGAGGTGGTGGTTTGGGATGGTGACAAGTAGAGACCACAAGAAGCCAAAGAGAATCAAGAGAGTCAGTATTTGTCTCTGAACAGTCAGTCTAACCCAAAGTTGAGACCTCACAAGTATAAATTCCAAAAACAAAAAAGAATAATCAAGAATATAATCAGGCTACCTGGAGAAAGACAGAGACATCAGGATCCTGAAAAAAAAAAAAAAGGTGGGAAGGTATGGGAGCATCATAGTCACAAAGGAAATCTGGCTCAGGAAAGAGATAAGGAAGCACCAAGATATAAAGTAACCAACGGAGGGGCGCCTGGATGGCTCAGTAGGTTAAGTGTCTGCCTTCAACTCAGGTTATGATCCCAGGGTCCTGGGATTGAGCCCCACATCGGGATCCCTGCTCAGCGGGGAATCTGCTTCTCCCTCTCCCTCTGCCCTTGCCCCCTGCTCATGTACGAGCTCTCTCTCTCTCTTGCTCTCACTCTCGTTCTTGCTCTCACTCTCAAATAAATAAATAAAATCTCTAAAAATAAAAATAAAAATAAAAAAATAAAGTAACCAATAGAAACAAAGGAAAATCACTGATTGGGATTGCATGTGCAAGAGATGTTGCCAGCACCCAGGCTACAACTGTCACGTTCTTCTATGCCTTGACCCAAGCTTCTTGTTAATTGCTTGCTCAGCCAGCCTCCCTCTCCACAGGGTTTTGACAATCGCAGTGACTGTCTGGTTTTTGCTCTCACTGGCACCAGTATGGGCTAAATAAAGTACTTACGTCTGGTCTGTCATCTAGCATGTGCTCAAAAAACATTCATTGGTTTTTATATCCTCAACTACAAAACAATAACCAAGGATCAGATATGTTTTCGTATTAATAATAGAATGAATATATACATATTAAAATTCCAAAAAATGTTTTTGAAGAGTAGAGTATGAGGTTATATGTGAAAGTTTTATATATATCTTTGAGGGTTGAGCTCTTAAAACCACCTTGTCAACGAATCTTGGAGAACCAGAAGTGTGTATAAAACTCCTTATGATGCTAACAAGGTTCTGATTAGCTCCAAACCACTTACAGCCCGGGGGGAAAATTCTAGCTCTCCAGAGGCTTCTTCCCACATCCAAAGAACTTCAACTGTTCCTTGAGGTGACTTATGGTCACTGTTCTACTAGAAAGCTTCTTTTCAAATCTGTGCAGCATGCTACTATGTCAAACTCTGAAATGCTGCATGTGCTAAAGTAAGTCAGAGATGACTGGCCAGATTAGGGGAAAAAATATTGTGGGCAGGCAACCAGAGACAAATTTGGCAAGAAAGGATGTCAGTGGGGATTTCCAGAATCTCTACACTGAAGGATAGCGACACTGATTTCAAATAATTTAGCAGTGAGTTAGTAAGGAGAATCCACCAGTGGCAGAAACTATAATACTTTTTAGGGAAAAAGGAGCTTAAGGACTATAAAAAACAAATGCCAGGAAGGTAACCTACAACCTACAACTATCAATTCTGCCATAGGGAAACAAGGGAAAGAAAATGTTTCATAGAAAACCGCTTCACAACAAACACTAAAACTACTCTCCTGACAAGGTCTTACCACAGATATTTTTCACACATATAATTTCACAGATATCTAACTCTCCACTCTACCACAAAATGCTTTTCTAAGATTTGCACTATCTTTATAGTATCTGGCAATTATGGAACAGGCTTCACTTTTAGCCAAAAGAAGGACTCATCACTAGGACATGAATTACTTTTAGCCCAGACAAGCCACAAAAAGTACAGCCTCAGATGAATGTTCAAGGCTCTCAAAACACACACACACACACACAGACAGACACACACACA